GACCTGCATTCGAAAAAAATTATGCTGCCGATCTGGTGGGATTTCGAAGGTATTATCTACTGGGAACTTCTACTACCTAATACCACGGTCGACTCGAAGCTTTACTGCAAACAACTTGAGAATTTGAAAATTGCACTACAAGGAAATCGTCCAGAAAGACGAAAAGTTCGATTGCTTCACGATGATGCAAAACCTCATATCTCAAAAGTTTCTCGCCAGAAGCTGGAAGAATTAGGGAGGGAGGTCTTACCTCATCCACCATATTCACCAGATCTGGCACCTTCTGATTATCATCTGTTCCGGTCGCTCCGCAATCACCTGGTGAAAAAGCATTTTGATGATCGACTACATCTAAAATCGGACCTCGAGAGTTTCTTTTCGTCTTTATCAAAGAAATTCTTTGAAGATGGCATTCTCGATTTGCCTAAAAGATGGGAGTATGTCATAGACAATAATGGTATATATGTTTTCGATTAGTGACATTTTGTTTCAATAAAATCATGAAACATTGAAAAGAAAAAAATCGGCGGAGACTTTTGCACCAACCCGATATATATAAAAGAATAGATGTCAATCGATGCCTCTTTTACTCTTCATTTCGCAGAACTCTAATAACATTAAACATACATCCGGCAAGACTATAACAAACTAGACTTAGTGGCCCGTAGTGAATTGGAATCTAAAGTCCAAATTTTCGGCGTCTAAACAAGATCTCATTATTAGATTAATACTATTTGGACTACCGTTTACTAAATGAAAGATAAGTAGTTTGGCTATTGATAATAGTGTGGTACATTTTACGGTCCTCATTTGAAGCAAAGAGTTATTTCTTTAAACTTGTGAAGCTTGATACAGATCTCAACCATGGCAGAAAGATTTGGCATTAGGGTCGTAAGAATAAAAAGAAGGTTCAGCTGACTTTTAGCTATTCCTTTTGTCAAAAATCTACTTCTATGTAAAGTGGTATTATCCTAGATAATATAATTTCTGCCAGCAAGTTGTCCATCATTTGCTTTTCGTATTTATCACCTTTTGTGGATGATTTGACAAATAGAGTCGTTAAACACATTTGAATCAAATTCAAAGTTCTTATCGTTAAATTAGCCTGTTTAAAATTCTAGACCGTGTCAGTGTGTACCGATCAAGATGTTCAAGTTTTCAGCTGTCTCTAGTGTTTGCAAGATGCTCAAAACTAAAAATTTCAGTAAGATCTCTTGTTCTGTTCTCTTAATGGTTAAATAGAACTTTTCGAGTAGAATCATTAAAAGATTGACTCCATATTTTTGAAAAAAGTTTGAAAAATATATCAAGGTGAGAATTTCGGATCTATTTTCCTTATATTTGGCATTGCTGCTAACATAAATTTTTCCCTTGATATTTTTTACAATCTCTTTTTTAAATATGAAACATACGTATTTATCTAAAGCATCTCATCATCTCTTTCCTTTCATCAAAAAAATAAAATTAAAGAATCTGCTGAAACTTTGAGCTTTAATCATGCTATATATACTGCTAACATTGTAAAACTATAATATCATGGTCGGCACACAGCAACAGTAGCTAATGTTTTAAATTTATAAGTTTGGTAGGGAGACCTTCACTCTGCACCCAACGTGTTTCATTTCCTTAACTGACAATATAAGTGTCTCTACTGGGGGTGATAGTTTGTGTCACATGCACTTTTTGAAATTGTTCGTCGTGTTCATAAAGAAAAAATTTTAAGTTTTGCATATTGAGTTCCATATGTAGACAATTTTTTTTTACAAAACCGAAACGTGTTAAGTTACTTCGTTGAAAGTTTGACATTCATGATCAGCTTTTCAATCACACTCCTTTGGAACACCACTGACGGTTTATCACTCATGATTTTATGTTTATTTTCTAAAAAGATGAGTTATAATCTATGATTCAGTTGAGTTACATTTAGCTGATTACAATGAATCATTCAACCTATAGCAGAAGAATTCTTGATGAAAACTATCAAACAAAACATTTTATTATAAAGAATTATTTCTGTCTTAAACTTTATGGTCTTTCTAATTAATCTGTCATGTATTGCAATGCAATGTTTACCCAATCTTACTTGAGTATTCTCAACAACCTTTATAAAAAAAAGTACTCCTTCTTTGCTGAAAAGGTTCTTTCTCTTGCAGAAAAATTAGAGATATAACGGTAACAGTACAATAATATGAAAGTCGGTCAATACAAATTCCATTGAATCTCCATAGTTCACTGATGTATTATTGGTGTAACATGCGTCATTATAGGGCCAAAGGATTCTTAAAAGTTTCTAAAGATTTCCAAAGATTTCTAAAGATTTCAAAAGATTTCCAGAGATTTCCAGAGATTTCGGGGGTTAAAATCTGCTTTTTCCCCCTTGGATTTGCATAATCAGCGAGTCTTACGATGGTCTCGTCTCAATAACACAACTCAAGGAGAAAATCTCTTCGACAACATCGGGTATTTTAGATTGGCTACGGATGGTCAGAGATATATCTACATCTCTAATACTGACAAAGTTGAAGTAAGACGATATGAAATAGGAGATAAGAATGGAACTCTCGTGGCTGGTAGGTATGGTAAAGGAACTCGTCTCAATCAACTCAAAGCACCAGGATATCTCTTTGTCGATTGACAAGAAGCTGTCTACGTGTCAAACTTCAGCAATCATCGTGTGATGAAATGGAATATAGGTGCAACAGAAGGGATTATCGTCGCTGGAGGTAAAGGTGAAGAAAAATCGCTCACACAATTGTCGTATCCTGAGGGGCTGTTCGTCGATGCTTTAGGTACCGTCTATGTGGCAGATTCTGCAAATAATCGAGTGATTCATTGGCCTCCAAAAGCGAAACAGAACACAGTCGTTGTCGGTGGAAATGGCCAAGGAAAATCACCAAATCAGTTCAACTTTCCCCGAGGTTTGTCCTTCGATCGTCAGAATCATCGTATTCAATGATTTTCAATTGAATCGACTCAAAAAAGACATTTAGTTTGTTTTTCTTGATCTCTTTCATTCTCGAATACATCACGATTGAATGAAAGACAAATCTCATGACTATTTTATTCGCGTTCGCTACCAGAAATCAACTCAGTAGAGACTCCATCGTGTGTCACTGGTACCAAGGTGATTCGAGGTAAGAGCGAATATGTAGATGTATGAGGTGTTGACAGGTACTAGTGTACACATGCATGATGGCTTGGTTCATCTCTTCATTATCATCCACACCTATATCCCATATCTTGTTAATACTTTCCTAGATTGTCCAACTTTGTTATCGATAGAGGAATCTTTTAAATGTCGAAAGTCTCATCATTTCTGTCAATATGTTGTTCTCTGAAATGATCTGTACATGCAGAGTCTGAACGTATAAAATTTAATAATATTTCTCCATGAATGTTTACGTGCCTTCAAATTATGAATTAACGATGATCATACTCACAAGCAAGCTGAAATATTGCATGATCTCGATTTTCTTTTTAAAATTCTTCTTTCAAACACACATAGCAAAAAAATGTTATTCGAACGACGTATAGATATAATAGAGCAAAAAACTAATTGATGAAAGTCTTCCCCCAAAGAAACAAGTATCTCCTCATAATTTAGTAGATTTCAACCAAGTCGTTCGACTTTTCAAAACGATGCAATAAATTTACTCCAGAGCAGTTGCTTCTCTTTGAATAAGAAGATAATTCTATGCGACGAATGGTGATGGTTTGTATCAGAACAAAGCAATACCATGTTGATTTATGATTATTGATGGAATAAAGAACATGTTGAACAACCAAAGTATCTTGAAAGTAGGATAAAATATACTATGAGATGTCATTATAGATTCATTGTTTGATGTTGCATGACATTAGATAAAATTAATCGCGACACTTGTCTCAACGATGAGCAACAAAGAGAAACAATAATTTAAACACTTGTTCATTAATATATGCTTCCAAGTAATAATGAACAACACTATTGAACAAAAATGAATGCCAAATTTTATTTGATGTAAATGGCTCTTGTGACAATCAAACTATTTTTAATAAAACTCTTATTGACATGTTCATCTTGCTGTCAATCAGGTTATCGAATATTGATGAGTCTAACGATATTCATTCATATAAAAATTTACTGATTGTTTAAATCAGTCAGAATAAGTGACCAATCATTTATCTCTCCATTCATTTCAGTGTGGTCAATCATGTAATCTACTGGTTACACTAGAAATCATTCGATCCATCATCTAACTGAATCATTAAAGCAGTTTGTTGTCATGAGTCCTTTTTATCTAAATTTACTTTTTGACAAACTATGATTAATCTTGGCAGAGTTGAATATCTGTCGTTCTCAATCAGAATGATTACTATTGTTATGGTGTTCGTGAACAAGGAAAAAAATTGCTTTGATTTCTGGAATCTCGAAAATAAATTTGCAATCCACATATCACCTTTGTGTATGAGGTACTGGCTTAGCATTAACATTGATATAAATTAATGACTACTGATGATCAGCTTGTAAAACGTACATTTCATCCAATAAAATACTTTATTTCATTCTTCATCTTTCATTCTCAATCATCCATACTTTATTTTCTTTCAGATCCTAAAAACTAACTTTGCTAGACCATTTACATTTGGAATAGAGGATAATATGCAGTTGATGCAACATGATTGATTCTCAAAAGTACACATTAGTGTTAGGAGAAGCTGACTTCGACATACAGTTCAATACCTGTTCACTAACTCACAATTATATAATTCATTCTAGATAGTTTTAGCATTCGATACACAAAAGAATAGATTAGGATTCTTGTAATTTTTTGGACAATGAACATGTATAATTATTTTCGATATGATGAGAATCTTTAGCGATAGTGAAAAACATGTCATGGTATTTTGTCACTCTCATCCACATCCAAGTTTTTTTTGCATATGATTCAGTTATTTGATAAACGAAACACTGCAACAAATGGAAACAGGAGCAGAGAGGTAAGAACCAGTAGTTTTGATTATGTTCCATCCCGGTAAAACGCTTGATGAAGTCTCCACAAGTCTAGGTAGTTTTTTGGCAATCTCAGATAATGAAAAGTAGCAGCTCTCCCGAATCCATTTGGTCGAGCGGCTAATACATCTCGTGTAGTATAGTGGTCTGGTGGTTGAGTATTGAACTCTCTTCGATCGGTCGGTCGAACTCCAGTTTTAGCGGTGATACATCGAGGCACAACCATATCACTATATCCACCTGGTTTGTTTGGGTAACACGACAAAATGAATGGAGGGAATTTTTCGAATAAGGCTCTTGAAAAAACATAGCCTCCACCACCACAAAATCGATCTTCACATGCGTTTCCGATCATTAGCGGTTGTTGAGGATCATAATCCGATAAAACTAATCTTAAATTCGGTGGAGAAACAAACGTATCATCATCCATTACCATAAGCCACTTGATATCTGTGCCGTCAGCCATTTTATTAATCATGTTAATAACAACATCTAAACCTCGAGTGACTTTTTGCTTGCTCCACCAAATGTTAACTGGTCTCGGTGTGTCGGGTGCAACCACATCATAAATTGGTACTCGTCTATCCGATGATGATTCACCCACGAAAAAGAGTCGTGATGGATGAATAGTGACGCCGAATGTGCACATAATGACATCACAGCGAGTACGTAAGTTACTATCACCAGTCAAGATCATAAAGGCAATTGAACCATTTGACTGACCAGGTGGATAAAAATCACCTTGTTTCCAGTGCAAATAGTCGTCATCAGTCCAACATTCTAAACTGTTATTAATATAACGAGCAGACGTGTTGAAGATCAGACGTGGTTTTGGTAAAGATTTGCCAGCTGCATTAGATAGAGTAGACAAATCTTTTGACAATCCAGGTGTCTTATCGAGGGACTTAGAATTCGGCGACGGCTGTCGTAAGTCAAGAAAAAACCGCCACCAAATCATCAGTAATAGGCTTCCAACAGTAACCGTAATGAAGAATTTTAGATCGTACCGCATTTTCAATATGAAAAAGATGAGTCGAAGTCTATTTCAGGTGCTTTGTTTATTTTTTGTGAAACACGATCTAAAAGAAATGCTGAAGTGTATAGGGATAGAAATTTAAAGATTTTCTCTTTCTCCTCTCAACGACTATCACAGGCCGTATCAGACGCTTTCCATATCCTACCGTCGATAATATATCACTAACATATTATGAGAATAGACAAACTTCTTTTCTATTGTAGTTCTCAAGAATTAAGTAAAAGATGTTGGAAAAAATCAGTGCCAAGATAAACCAAATAACATAACACTCGCGTGATTAGTAACAAATGTTACATCACGTTTCACATTTGAATCTCATAGGGATAATGCTATCAGCTTTTGTATTGCAGGTATATTTCTTAGAAATGCAAACACTTTCTTACCCCATGAGTCTTGCTTAACTCACTCCTGAAAGTAAGAAAAGATACTAAACAACATTGATCTTTTAACTGCTGAATGCATTCTAAAACGAGACCGAAGTAAAATCCTACCACTGTTTGTAAGAACATAAGTATCAGGATCTATTCAAATGCATTAATATTCTGATAATTTATACCTCGTCATCCTTCTTCATGTAAAGCATATCTATTTACACTAATATTGAGATATATTTCACCAGGTTCTCTTAGTAAAAATCTCAGAAAACATGAATAGGTAGCATATTCTTTTTTCAAAACTTAAATTTGGACAAGACTAGCTTTTATAATATAAAATACTAAATACATTCCTCATGCCATTCAATAACTTGAAAGGCCGATAAGAAAATATTTTTATTCTGAGGAGTGTATCAGGCAATAGCCGCTACAATCAAAAGTTGAAATATCTTAGCTTTGATTCGATTGAATAGACTGGATCTTTTGATAATAGCAGAAGCTTATTTGAAACTTCTTTCAAATAGATTGCACAAAAAAAATAGCAATTCCAAGTCATATTTTTGCCTTCACCAAAAACATTTCAACTATTTTTAAGTAAGAATCATTTATAAATGGATCGCAGCATCTGTCAGTATACTAGCGGAAGCATCGTTCAAACAAGAAGGTACACCGAGCAGTTTCTTAGGATGCTACAATGCATGTACATATGAAACATTTAATTCATATAATTTTAGTACTCATCTAAGCGAATAAAGAGAAATAAATAAAATTTCGTGAAAGATGCTGCATTAATGCATTAAGACCAGATTTTTGTAAATAGTCACTATGAATGTTTAAACGCGTCTCCTTCAAGTAAACTACGTAATTGCAACTCTTTGTGCTAAACTTATTAGAAAAATGATTGTTCTTAGTTTCAAAAATCGATGTTTTGTTGCTGTTAAGTTCTGCATTAATTAAATCCTGAAAATTAGCTCTATGTATATCAGTAAAGTATGATGATTTATAAAGCATCGTTTTACTGGAAGTATGGATGAAATTCTGAGTCTGAATTAGTGAAGTTGTTCTTCTGTGTCATTACAACTCTAGATCCTCATCCAGCCTCACATACCGTCCATATACATTTCTAGCACACTAACAGACACTTCTCTTCTCACTGTAACAACACTGTACAATAATAAAATTCTAAAGAGTTCATTAAATCACAACGTGCAAAAGCCCCTCTTTTTTTTACCATTTATGAAATTTTCGTAAGCCCTTTCACAAACCTTTTCATATACTCTTTCTAAAAACTGTATGGAAGAGGCTTCTATGCGTTGCATTTTCATAAAGCATCTAGTGAAGGCATATAAATTTCCTAAACGATTTCAATTAACCTTAAAACTGATTATCAAAAGAGTGCATAAGGAAAAAATTTCACACGGAACTTCAAAAGGTTCTGAATTTTGTAACGAAATCGAAATCTTCTTTTTTTCAAGTTTCTTAATGTAATCTCACTAAGCATATATATCAATCCTTCTCTTTATACGTATACTACTACATCTATGCCTATTTCCTTGTATATACTTCGATTTCCCTAAACCTAGTCGTACTTTTATTTCCTGAATCTATTCCCCCAAAATTTATCCCAGATTGAAGCGTTCATTTTAAAAATGACCGTATATTATTCTAAACACTGTAAGAAAAAAATGTTTCTAAGAAAACTTGTGAAGGTCTTGGAATGTTGCCATAACTTTAGAGTATCGAACAATTGCAAGAAATATTACTGAAAGTTTCCTAGTCATAAACATGTTGTAAATAATTCTTCCAGATTTCACACAGAGCTGTTGTTTTTTTAGCTGTCATATCTCATAGAGAGAGCTATTTACCAATCAGAAACTCAACAAATGTAAGTCCTTAATACATATATCTATCTATCTTTCATTTTACTGTCACGTTTGTATACTTCTTTACTGCATTTAGACTTCATAATTTTGTTTACGAAACCACTTCCCGAACGATGTGGAAACTATCGATTATATCGCAAGTGTTCCATGCAATTACCGGTAGGATCAAGATACGAACCTACTGATCCATAGTCTTTTGAATTTAAGAATAAATGTAAATTCTCATGGGCAGCATATTGATTTAGTGAGTTTTATTAATAAAATATCTTATTTTTTATGTGTATATGTCATAAGTTATTTTTCAGAGGAATATGACTGTTTCTGAGAAAAATTTCAATCAAGGTTAGGTTTTACTGAAGAACAACTTACGATGTACAAGTATAAAAAATAAGAAATCTTTTCATTAACAAAACTCACTAACCCAATATGTTGCTTATGTGGATTTGCATTTATTGCAAGATTCATAAGACTATGAATCGTTAATATGATTAGCAATTTTTGGTTCTTCTTTGCTTCATCATTTTGCTACCTAGTTAATGTTTATACGGATCTAAATAAAAGAAAAAAATAATAATTTATTTAGATAACCCATTGTAGCCGATAATGTAAATAATGGACATTATTTTACATTATCGACTACATCGATCAATATATTTACTCATATATTTCGACAATTTTTGACCAGTGGTATACTGCCAGCAGTGAAAGTGGATGTGCAGCATGAACTATCTTTGCGCTGAATATGTAAAAACTGTGCATCATCCTGAGAGAAACAGAGTTTTTGTTAGTGAACTGATGTATATATGTGCATTTAGTGTACTGTTTTAGTTGAAAGCTTCCTATAGTCTAGCAATATTTTTTTGTTGGAATGCACTGGCATATCAGATTGCAAAGTTCGTTTTGTATTATGGAAACATGTTAATATGACTGATTGTCATGACTAGAATAACATATCACACCCATCCTTTGCTGTAACTTTCATTGTGAAATTGGTTAGGAAACATTTATTGGAAGAAGAAGTTGAAAGAGGATTTCGACTTTGTTTCCATTGTAGAAACCTTTTTTTAAGATTTTCTGAAACATCTGTTTCCTTTTAAGTGTACGATACTAAATAGTGTCTTACAACTAAAAATTAATTGTATCCATGTAACTATATCATCAAAGTAAGCCCAGTTTGTGAACGACTACTTTATTGTATACTTCGAATATTTTGAGCAACAAAAACTGCACAAACACACCCTCTTTACAAATATTTCACTAATAGACTTAAATGGCTGTGATACATCGTATACACTGAGCATTAGAGTTGCCACTTTAACTTGACTTTAAGTTAAAGTAGAGATTTTTTTAGGAAAAAAAACGTTTTTTCAATACAGTTTGTGGGAAAGGTGGAGTCCGAATCTGATATCGATTTCTCGAAGTTTTGAGTTTTATGTTTCCACAAAAGAAACTTTTTTGTTGTGAGAAAATCTTTATTTCAACTTTGATTATGCGAAAGTTAACATTGAAGGATGCTACTTTAACTTTAACTACTTTATCAAAGTATTTTTAAACTCATAGGATTATCGCCAGTCATTATACGATTCGCTTACGAGAAGAATAAACATGCACATATCATTTTTTCAATGTTTATATTTTGAAAACGTGCTATAAACGAATCCGTTTTGATGGATCTGGGTAATCATGATCAAATGCTTAGAGTAGTAACACATATTTCGTTTAAATTTTCTCAATTTCAAATATGAAATAAAAAAATTGTAAAGCATAATACTTACTGTCCTTTTTAATACACGACTGTTTTTTACCTTTTCTTTTTTGTATTATGATCACTCATTAACAAGGACATTCTTTCATTACCAAATCGTTTTATACGCGATTACTTATTTTGTCGTTGTACAGCTTATATCATAATGATTTTTTTTATGAGATAAATAACACAACGAAGCTTGTATCAACACTGTCTATCCTTTTACTTCAATATAATAGTCGTATCCTTTGTATGTGCATAAGCCTGCTTGAAGCGCGGGTGACGAAAAGCGATATAAATTGCATTCAAAAGAAAAATAAATCGTTATCATTCAACCATAAATTTTTTTTCTTTCTTTGTCATAAGTATGGTCCTTTTTCTCATTCTGTACATGTGCTGATAAGATACAGATGAAAAAGACAAGTAAGAACGATGTAATTACAGAAGAGATAAACATAAATTTGTTATTATCAAATTTTGTAACAATGAAAATCAGAATAAATAACTGATTTGTCTGATGTTGTAAAATATTTGATTAAATCAAGTGAGAAAAAAACAGATATTGTAAGGGTGAGGACATGAATATGAGATTATGTTCAAGGAATATCGAAAAGTACACATACCGAAAATTATTTTGAAAATCTGCCACAGAAAATCCAGCAGATATGATTTCAAAGTAAAACATCTCAAGTCATTTTTTATTATAATTTTGCTTGATATGTTGAGAAAAATGTGATTACGTACTGTTGATGAATCGGACTGAATGGCGAAAGAGATTAAATTGATCGTTTTCTTCTTATCTTGTTAAAAAGGTTGATTTGATATTCAACATTGATAAATACTCTTCTTTCACTTGGTTTAATATAATAATTTATTCAACAAAAACAAAAAGCTAGTGATGTTTCATGTCTCGATACG